TTACCATTTTTGTTGTAAAGTTGAAAATGGCCGAGATATTGAGCAAAAACAATTCCTTTGAAACCAACTCCCGCAAGGTCCTACGCTCGCGTCTTTACCGCAAGCGTAGGACCTTAAATATTGGTAGTAGCGAAAAAATCAAAGAGATCAAAATTGTAGAAAATATAATTATCTCCAACTTTATTTATGTACATTTATGTCGTATAGTCAATAACAAACGAGCTAATTCAATAATTATACTTTGTCACTATTTTCCCCCTTAACTTGAAAAATATCGATCTCACGATAAAATTTGTAATAAAAGAAGTTGTAGGAAATTGCATTTGCAACAACTTAAGTCATTACTATTTTTGTTGTAAAGTTGAAAATGGCCGAGATATTTAGCAAAAACGATTTTTCCTTAAATTCAAGATGGCGGCTGACGCAGGGGTGGAATTCAGTCGCGATTCTGAATTTACACTACTATTGACCCCCCCTAAAGGTTAGAACAATAAAATTGTGGTCCCTAATTTTTTCCCGGTTAAGCCCTTTTTTTGTCTAACCCGACTGGAGTAATTTAATTTGATTTATAAAAATGCAATAAAGTGATTTTATTTTTTTTTTCTCCAAAAGGGAAGCAGGATACAAAAAAAATTCAAGAGACAAAAAAGTTGTATTTTTGGTTGCTTAATACGAAAAATATGATAAAAGTTTTAAATAAGTCCTGCACATTTTTTTTGTCAAAAATATTAGTTAAGGTGCCCCTGAGACGCCAGTGGACTTTTTAAATTTTAACAAAATCGGCTAAAGGATTAAGATTTTTACGAAAAAAAACATTTTTTAAAGAATTTGACACCCAGTATCTTGAAAGGATTTCAAGTGCAGATAAAAAAATAAATCATAACTCGACTAATCATTTGATAGTAGTTTGGGCAACTTAGGTTTTTTTTTTCAAAAATCGGACCTACCTTGAATTTTATGGGCTTAAAATTAAGTAAAAAATACACAGAATACAAGCCTAAATTTGTGTATTTGTAGAGGTCGAGCGTCATATTGTTTATAACAAAAGAAAAAAAAAATTGTTCTTTTTTCAGTTTTTCGCTTATATCTCCGAAAATAAGCCTCTAATCAACATGAGGTATACTTATGTCGATTATTCTTATAAAAATTAAAAACTTTCTCTAGCAATACAATTCATTAAATAAAACATGGTAGAATTGAATGTAACAGTTCTTTTAAATACTATAAAATGCATTACTTATATATAATGTTGGTATTGTAACATTCAATAATATGAAATAAGTGTAACAGTTAATTTTAAGACGATATTTTATACATCTTCTGAGCACGGTAATTTTTCATTCATTCATAATTTTTTTTCAAAGAAATGATTGACTTTTGTTTTCAAATAAGTAAAAAGATCTTACTTTTCAAAATATCGAAAGCACAATTAAATTACAAAAGAAAACGTGAAAAGTCAATAAAAATGTATTTGTCGGGATCTGGCGATGACTTTCACAGACTTTTGCTTACACCAGGAGTCAGCAAGTAATTTTAGGTGAGGTCAGGATACTTTTGAAAATTTTTAACGAGGTCCAGAAAAAAAAATCATTTTTCTTACTAATTTTTTATTTTAATTTGGACTCAAATTTAATCTGCTTACTAACCATTAAGAACTCAAATCAGTCACACAATTGTAAAGTACTAGAAAAAATGATAAGGGTGGCCCTCAAACGTAAAAAAATATTTTTTTAATAATTTATTTGAGTAATTTATACATTCAAAAAAATTTTGGCAGTCCAGTATTTTACCTTCCGTGGTCCGGACTTGGACCGCGGTCTGCCAGTTACCGACCGCTGGCTTACGTCATTCGAAAGAGCGGAAAAAATAAGTTGATTTAAAAAATGCATCCCGGTACCTGCTTTCTAAGTGCCGCAATCCATTTGTTAAGTCTTCTACTTTACAACGAGACCAAATTTATTAAAAAATATTAAATTGAACAGCCAAAATACAGTTTAAAGAAAAAAAAATTATTTCAGCTCCTATTGGTCGGATCGAGACGCGTTTTTTCTTAATTCATGCTTTTTTAAGCACCATTTGATGCAATCGGTTTGAAATCTGTATATTAAAAAATGTCGGAAATAAGGACCCTAGTTACCGTTTTTTTTTTTTTTGGTTTTTTGTTAATAGCTTTTTTATTTTGCAATCAAAAAATCTGAAATTTACACAGACGCGAGATAATGTAATTACCGTTCGATCCTTTTTTACCAAATTTCGATACCTTGACTTGGGCAGAAGGTATACGCGCTCGTGTTTTCGTCTTTATAATTTTGCAATAGGCCACCATTTTGAAATTGGGGGTCCGGATTGCAGGTATTTGTTGAGCACCCCAACAGTTATCTTTTCTGTAGTTTCATCCAATTTCAGTCAAATTCGTTCTTTTTACTTAATGCTGAAAATTTTGCACATTTTTTTTTTTTCACTACAAATTTTGCAATGTAAAAAAAATTTTGCGAGTTTTGGCAAAAGCTCAACCCTATAGCAAATTTCCTCAGGAACAAAATTGATAAGTATATCTCATGTCGATTAGAGGCTTATTTTCGGAGATATAAGCAAAACATTGCAAAAAATGGGCAATTTTTTTTCGTTTGTTATAAACAATATGACGCTCGACCTCTGCAAATACACAAATTTAAGCTTTTATTTTGTGTATTTTTTACTTAATTTTAAGCCCATAAAATTGGATGTAAACCTGATTTTTGAAACAGGCATGTGTTCGGTCTAATTCGCCCGGATTATATACATTTCAGATAAGTATTCTTGAAAACATCTACTATTAACTCTTAAAAAACAGACTTTCATTTAAAGTTATACCCTTTATTTGGTGTAATCTGTCAGAAGCTCTCTATAATGAGCTGCCGCAAGTGGAAAAACCACTCGTACAGGCCAATGAAACAAGTTTGATTTGGCAGACTATGCATGAACAATCGCAAAATAAGTGGGTAGACTGTCAAGAAAGTAAATTTTGAAACATTATTGCAGGAATGTTTGGGTTGGGCCAGTCTCAGACGAAAAATGTAAAATCCTACAGCACAGCCCCTATAGCGGACGTGGCGCGTTTAAATCCGATGAGATTAGCTAGATTAATATGGATAAATAACAGGACGGTGACGCTGATGTTGGCGGACGGTTCTGAAACCCGTTTCAATGTATAACATTTCGGCCATGCATGAGAAACTGTGGCCTTTCCCTAATAACGTTGTTCTTTCAAATCTGTAATCTTATGATCATATGATAATCTATAATATTTTACATGCACGGTAGGTTGTACGATTTTTTCTTAAGTTCGAGTTGCTGGGGTTGTTAAGGGCAAATTTTATATTTTGTGATAGTAACATTTAGGTGTGTAATATATTATTACTTATTTTCTAGGTATAGATTGTGTTATTCGTTGCATTTAAATATTTTTACAGTAAATTTTACATTTTCGCCAATACCATAAGCAATACTAGAGATTAATTCTTAATGTACAAATGTATATCAGAATAGTTTTAGTCGATATTATTGTGTTACTAAAATACAAATATGGAAAAACTTGTGTGTCATATTTATAAATCAGGCTGGGTAATATATATTACGTTAATATATATCGCGAAAATTTACTATGTTCTGCAATTATTAAAACGCTATTATTACATGTTACTAACACAAAATGAATTCGAGACATGTGAACTTAACAACTTTAATGACGAAAATAAGAGTGTGACAATAATTTGAAATGCACGGATGTAGAGTTAAAGAGATAATATTCCAAATTATAGAAGCATTTTCCAGTTTGTCCCAGTCGAGTAAACTGGGACGTATCATTTAAAAACAGCCTTACAAAAATGATTACATGTGCCTGTAGCGTACATAAAATTAGATTCACCGTTTGTTTCATAGAGTAGAAATTGATTTGGTTGAGAATTATCGAAATTATTACGATAAAAAAGTTAAACTCGGACAACAAAGATTTATTTCCAGTTATTATAAAAAATATCGAGAAGAACAAAGATAAATACTTATGAAACTGATTACAAAATAGAAACAAAGTATTGTATGCTGAACAATAATTTGACTGTAAAACTTTTAGTTTTGTGACAACTGAAAGTAGAATATTTGACAATTAGTAGCTTGAATTAACAACTTTTCAATAAAACAAGCATATAACACTTTGATACAACATATAAAGTACAAAGAATATAGATATTCTAATATGATATGAACTGTGAACCCTTTTAACGGCACATTAATTTCACATTATTAGACTATAGATAAATTATTATATTGCTATAATATAAAAAATTTAGTGATGGTTAAATGACCGGTAATTTAAAAATCGGTAACTTATTATTTGTATTTTTATTGGGCATTTCTTGCATTTTAATAAATACTTTCTCGTAACTTCACACTAAACTGTTGATCTTGCCCTTTTTTAAGAAACAAACATGTAAACCATACGGCAAAAATGATGAGTCGCTTTTATTTCATTTACTAGAAAATGAATTTTAAAGTTTAAAACTAAATTCGGAAATCATACCATTTAAATTTTAAATCAAAATTTTTTGTCAACGCATAATTAATTATTTATCGGTGAAAGCGATAAAAGTGTCCTTAGATCCCAAGCAACAAAAAAAATTACAAAAATGATGTATGTCATTAAAAAAACACCAAAACGATGCAAGTCCAAAATAAAGTTTTATAACTGCTACAAATCAATCTAATAATCGTGAATAAACATTCATTGTAAATAACTTATGTTATGAAAAACAGGAATTTTCTTCTCTCTCTTTTTTATTTATTTTTTCCATGAACATTCTTCTTTTTCCTCACGTTCTTTTTGTCTACTGTTTGCTTTTTCATTTGCTTCACAGAAGCATTCAGTTTCTTTTTTTAAAATTGAATTATTTTCGCATTATTTTCTGGCATGTTTGTGTCATTTTTATTCTTCAATAATGCTTCTGCACTATATTTATCACAAATACTGTAGGCATCGCTGTGTGGATGTCCAAATTTAATGTTGAACTCATTGTTAATCGACGCTTTAGTACGAAAACATGTTATCTCAGATTTCAGTTGGAAAACATGCTATCTCAAATTTCGGTTGGAAAACATGCTATCTCAGATTAAGCTTGGAAAATATGCTAGCTCACTTTGACTAGAAATTTAAGTTGGCACATTGAATGATGGAAACCGTGAATTTATAATACTTATATAATATGTTTTTCAAAAAGTAAGGAATATTTTGCTTTAGTTGCTTTAATATCAAAATTGATAGCGTGGGGCTAAGCCCCAAACTCCAAGTCTGAATCGTTTTTACTGCACCTCAATAAAAACACGGTAGCCGCGTCCTCGCAAAAACTTTGGAAGTGAAATGCAGGTACGTGACACTTTTATTACCGGTACTTTATGATGTGCTGATGATAAACATGTGTGCATGGGGAACCGCGGAAATGTGCACGTGCATATCATATGCACCCGTCGCATCGATATATACATATCACTCAACTTTACACATTATATTTATATTCTGGTTATTATGTTAACTCTATTAATAAAAGTAAGAGTAGTAACTATGAATCAGGTAAGAGTGTGCTATTAATTTTTATATCAAAGCAAACGTATGAAAAAAATCGAATAATTTTTAGTAATAGTAAACATTTTTATGTACATTATTTTTTATAATTTGTTATTTCAAAAAAACGTCGAATAATGTACGTGTTGCAGCATACTGGACATTATTCTATTTTTTTAATTAATAATTTTGTCATTATAACAGTAAGTTAAGAAAATTAATTGAAAAGTAAAATAAACAGTGTACCTGAACTTAAATATTCCTTACTTTTTGAAAAATATACTATATAAGTTATTATAAATGCACGGTTTCAGTCATTCAATGTGCCAACTTAAATTTCTAATCAAACTGAGATAGCATGTTTTTACATAAAGATCTGAGTTAGCATGTTTTCTAAGCTTAATTTGAGATGGCATGTTTTCCAACCGAAATTTAAGATAGCATGTTTTCCAACGGAAATCTAAGATAGCATGTTTTAGACTGTCAGCGATATTGCCAAGAAGCCTGGGCCACTTGATTGATTCTACTTTTTACACACATTTTTTGGTACTAATTCCTTATACCGTAAAAATTGTCATTCACCGTTTTTGCTGTGTCGTCTTTATATATGAAGGCAAATTATTGACAATTATAAATATTGGTTTTAAAGTAACTAATGAAATAACTGAGAAAATGGGTCATTTATTTTTAATCGGACCGGTCATTTACCATCACTGACTTTTGTCATTTTTTAAGTGACCACCATCACTAAAAAAATTCCGAACTATCATTTTCTCATCAGTGTACAATATTTGATGATTTGGAGTAAAGCATAACATTTTTTTCTCTGCACATTAACAGAAGGAACTGAAATATTTCTTATTTATCATTTTTTTATATCGTCTTTAGTAAACAAGAACCTAAAAATAAAGAACAAACAAAACAATCTAGTTAAAAAGGGTTAAATTGAGTTAAAGTTTGAAATTCCAAACTTGACAAAGTCTGGATTATTTTGTGACTGTCGGAAAGACGCAAGTTGCAACTTGCCGAGAGTAATGTGTACAAGCGGAAATATTTAGTACAACCTTTGATTGCTTAAAAGTAACATATAAAGCATGTCATATTTGTGTGACAAGTGTTGAATATAAGTGGAAATATGAAAGTCTATACATTTTTTAATCTCTGTTAATTATCTGCGTGTAAATTATGGGTATATATGCAGTGTGTTTCACACTTTGTCGATCCGCGTCTATAATTTAATTTTTATAGATTTTTTATCTTTTTCTTTTCATTTGTAGTGAGTTCAAATAGGTTTTCTAATAAATTTTGTACAGGTATCTACAAAAAAAATAAGTTTTCGGACATATGAAGCACACTGTATATGTGTCATTATTTTTATCATTTTGTTTCTCATGTTTATAAATTGTATATAACTGTTATTTATTTTTAAACTTTAGAATTTAGAGTAAGTATAACTATATAAATTTTAATTCCCCACGTTATTTGTTACATTATGAAATTATCTGAAAATAGTCGGTACATTTTCCTATTTTATTATTTAAAAAAATATATATTATGAAAGTAATTCAATTTACCAAAAACAAATTATTTTTGTTACTTACTTTATCGTTTTTTTTTTTTTTGAGAGTTCATTTAAACCAAAAATATATGTGTACTACTCCCCTTTGTGATGTACTTTGTACCATTGTATTTTATAGCCCTTATAAGAATATATAACGTTTATTGTGATTTGTGATCGATGTTTCACGTGATAATTGACAACGGTCGTTTAAAAAGCCAAAAAATATTAATCAAACCTATAACTATATTAAATATTAGCTCAAACTCAATTATCACGTGAAACATATAGGTGTTTCCTAAAATAAATTAAGTTTCTTCTAGTATTACAATTTTATTGCATATAAATGTGTGTATTATAAATATAAATTCATTCATAAATTTATGCCAGATCTTATTACATTTTTAATTGTAAGATACATGATTTAAATTTCGAAACTTAATATTAATGCCTATTCTTTATGTTTCAATATCGCTTTTGTACATACGATTTATGTACACTGAGGTAAATATTTAAGGCGAGTCATAGATTGCAATTATTTACAAACAGTTAAAATATTCACAAATTTTAAATGTAATATGTCAATCTGGTGTTCATGTTATGTATATAAGACAATTTTAGCAATATTATATACTTGTTTTATGTTGCATAAATGAAGATCGAATTTAGTCAAATATATATTATCTAATATTCTCCTGCACTTTTATTCACAGCACGTCAAAAGTCCACCTCTTCCCTCGTCTAATGTACCTCAAACAATATTTATTGAATTTGTTAAGGGCCCAAAAAATTACTAGGAACGTGCGAATGAAATATTCAATCTTTTCCACCAACGCGTGTGACAAAACAGTAGATGTGAATCTCTGACCAAACTAAAAACAAAAAATCTATTTGCGGAAATTCACATCCACATTTTTCATACACAAAGTGATAAAAGGATTATTTTTAGTTCTCGTATGTTTTATACTTTTGCTGATAGAGCAATCTTTCTAATGGTCATATTTGCCACCCGATTGGGTCACCACAGTTGAAAACATACAGGGTGATTCACAACTTATCCAAAAAAATTTGGGAATAGATGCGGCATGAGAAATGGAGTCAATATCGTAACAATAAATTTTGTAAAATCCTTATAGTTTCCGAGAAAAATATTGTTGTACTTTCAACCATTACATAGCTGGACAACTGTAGTCTCTAGTGTCATTCGCAATACGCCTGGAGAGCCACGTGGCCTCAGTGAATACTGAAATCCGATTTTACAATCGTCGTTGCGATAGTGTTTACAAAAGTTTTTTAGTGGTTAGCATCAAAAATGGCTTGCGTGTATAGTAACTCGGACTTGATGGATATCATTTTAATTTATGGTGAAGCAAGACAACATTTATGTTAGTTCGTACAAACTGAGTAAGATGGACCCAAATGTGTTTACACGTCGGTGGACAACATTTTGAACAGATGTAACATCAGGTATGTCAAATTATTTTATTTAAAACCACAAATTAATTTTATTAATTAATAATAACAATAGCGGCAAAAGCAGTTGCATTGTGCGACGTCAGGTTTTACAGTAGACCAGTTTCCAGTGCAGTGCAAGTGTATTTTTAAATCATTTTTGAACTGCTCTTTTTGATTTTTTTCTTTACAAAATTGTATTTGTAAGAGCTCCCTGTACATCCACCATTTTTTTTTTTTTTTGGATAAGTTCTGAATCACCCTGTATAATACTAAAGTCAGCAGATAGCACATAAAAAATGTGACTATGGTTTAAGTCACATTTTGATGAATAGCATCCAAACAGTTGAAAATACCAAAAAAATACATGAGATTAAAAAATGAAAAAATGTAACAAATCTTTCAAGAGATGGGGTTACGGCTACAAAAAAAATTGAAGGGTTTACACGGACCACGGTTCCAGATAAGTATGTAGATTATTTCAAATGTGCATTCCAAAGTATGCACAATAAATCCATTATTTCCAAAATGATTAAGTTTCATGACATTTCCTCGGAGATATTGATTTTACATTTTTAAGGCATTTTTTTTTAAATAGAACTATAATTTTTGGTTACATTCTTGTAGAATACATTAAAGGTTTATTTATTGCTTGTAAGAAAATATAGTCTTCATAAATTATTACAAGCCAAGTGACCAGTAATTTTATTTCCTTTACGATCAAGATTACATTAAAACACAATATTCTCTTCCATCGACTGTTATTGGTGTAATTTTTTACGAAATTTTATTCAATCAATCAGCGATTGTATTATCTCGAGTATATACGTAACGGTTCGTCATTGTTCACTGTAAACGAATCATTAATGTTGGTGACGCCAAGATTTAGGAAAATTTCGTTACCAGTACCAATCGTGTAATGTTGGGTTGCCTAAGCTCAACGGTCACGTGGCTTGTAAACATTTATGAAGGCTCTAGTTATAATTTTTAACACTGAACTTTGATTTATGACAGATCCAAAGATTCAATTCAATCGATATTAATCTAAATTAAACCATTCCAGAGGGATTATCAGGAAATTTCTCGAATTTTCCTGAAATTTTTTAAAATTTCAGTTCTAATCAATCTTTATTTTCGAGATGCTGCCACTAGATGTCGTTAGATTCCATTTGATGTAAATAAATAATAAAAAAATATCACGTCAAGGAAAACAACAAAATTTTATCCAAACCTCCCCAGTTTTATCCACCCGTGAAAAATTCTAAATAGTAGTAATTATCTTTTTTATAAAGAATATAAACCTGTGTACATTGTCGTTTGTTTATTAGGTGTTTTGAATTTATTTAAAAAAAATTTTTCGGAAATTTAAGTTTGAACACACTGTAGGTACCTTGGAAAGTAAGAACTTTCCAATTTATATAGTAGTAAAATTTAGCCAAAAATTGCACATATTTGAAAAATATTTTTCAATTTTGGCTAATTAAACCAAGGTACTAAACAAAAAATCGCCCTGTACATCTAGATTGCCGTTATTTAGTAATCAGCCAAGCAAAAATTATTAGATTTTTTTTAAATCAAATAATGTTTCCCATGTGGCGTAAGGTGCAAACTTTATAGCAGCCGCTGTATAATTTTTGAAATAATAATTATGTACGAGTTAAAAGTTAAAAAATTAGGAAAATGATAATGATTTAAAAATAAAAACTAATATTGATCATTTTTGCCTGAAAAGTTAACTAGATATACCTGGAAAATCTGGAAATATTGGCGAAATTTTAATAAAAATTTGGTATATACTATTCTGACGATTTAGAGCTACTCACATATCATCACTTTTTATTTCAATTGACAAAGAGTGACCGCAAAAGTCGCCCGGTTTTTCACAATTCGCAGAGAAATAAAGAAAATAGATAAAAATATGTCTGGTCTCAAATTAATCATTGTAAAAAATTAAGATGAGCATAGCTTTTAGTTTTTTTAAAATTTTCGAATGATTCTTGATGCAAAGAAAGATTCATTCTCATGACTGAAATAAGCATGTTGAATTAGAATATCCACCCCTAAGCGCACTCAGGGGGTGGAAACATCCCGAAAAATAGAGAATATCAGAAATAATTGTAAAAATTAAAAAAAAATTTATTAAGATAATTCACATGCTAATAGTTTTTATATCAATTGGTAATATTAAAATTCTTCATTTTTGGCATTATTTCAACCCCTAAGTAGGGGTGATTTTTTAAATTTTCAAAATACTGAATACTATGCTCATTTCAGTTTTTTACAACAAGTAATTTGCGACCAAAAACATTTTATGTATTTTTTTAATTCTCTGCGAATTGTGAAAAAACGGGCGAAAATCACAGGTTTTTTGCGGTCACTCTTTATATTCTACATGAATTATAGTTCCCTTTAAAAAAAATTAACAACCAACTCCGAGAGGCGGGAGTACATGAAAAAGTGTCTTCTTAAAATGCAAAATCTATGTGTCAGAGGAAATATGAAACTATTGTGTTGGGAATAATGAACCCCTTTCCATTATTTTTTTGCATACTGTATATTCCGACGATCCTCAAACTGATTGAATTATTTTAAAAAATGTGTAAAACTAATGACGATAACTAAAAAAAATTCAACATTGTCACTCTGTATATCAAACAAGATTTTGTACTTTCATCCGGAGAATTACCTGCAAAATTTTGTCGGTGGAATATATCGACACCATGTATAACCTGCTGCGGAGAGGAGAATAGGAAAAAAATAAAGTTTAATAGATGACATAAATTTACTATCTTAGTCTTTCCATGCCTGTCGGCAATATAAGAGTTAGCGTGTGATTGTTTAGATTAAATATAAAAAAAAACATGCAAATTAAGTTCGGATCCCAAACGGAGAAAAAAATAACTGAGTATTGATTAAATGGACTAGATTTTGCAGTCAGTTTTCTCTATATATTATTATTTGCATTTTTGTCCTGATTTTTTTAAATAGTCGTACCTAGTGTATGTACGATACGATTATTTGTAACATTCCTTACTAAATCACTAATTACATATTTGTATGTTCATATTATAGGTATAATCGTCATTTTATATATACATATACTTACATAGAAGACAGTCACAGCCTTGCGTAAACTTAACGTATTAAACTAAAAGCAATTGCCAACATAACAACAATTACACAAGGAATATTTTTGCTAACAGAACCAGCTCCAAGCTCCTTTTTCTGACTAATAGTATTTTCGATATATTTGAGCGATTGGATGATAGACTTGTTAATGCACCTCATAAGGGGGAAGTTAACGAACGTTTCGTCATCGCCGTCCGAACAGTCCCCATGAAAATCGTCCGTATCGACCGACCAAACCATGATGCCAGCTAGACCCTTCTCCATAGCAAACTGGACTTTTTCCGCGATCGATTGTTCGTTATCGTAAGATATTAACTGATTTCCGGTTGCGGCGAATGGTGTTCTTGATTGTTCATCCCAATACGTCTTCCAGCCAGCCGTGGTGTTTTTCAGCTCCACACAAATCTACAATTTAATGGGGGAAACCACATTAGAAAGTTCAAAAAATCATTTTTTTTTTTATTGCTAGTACAGACTACGCTGCCAAAATTTCAAAACGAAATTCTTATTCGTTCCAATCAGGTCAGCACTTGGGCACACAGCAGGTAGGGTGGAGCGCTTGTTCGGGTAGTCTAGTCACATATTAAGAGGGCTTTATAGCATATACGCAACCAGCAATACATTTTTGTAGATTTTATTACAGTTTGTCTAAATATGAATTAATGCACAAATAACAGACTTTCTCACATTTTAACGCAGATTTTCTATAAAATGGATTTAGTTTGAAACTCATATTACTTTTTGGTGTAACGAAATTTGTAATTTACGATGCCGCTTGTTCAAAAGCGACAAATTACAAATTTCTTTACAACAAAAAGTAATTTGAGTTTCAAACTAACTCCATTTTATAGAAAATCTGCGTTAGAATGGAGGAAAGTCTGTTATTTGTGCATTAATTCATATTTAGACAAACTGTGTAATAAAATCAATAAAAATGTATGTATGCTGGTTGTCGATTTGCTATAGAGTGCAAGAAAAGAACAGATGCAAGCTCAGAATGATGCCTATGAGGAAGAAGAAGGGCTATTATGGTGGTGGAGTCGCTGATTGATCGGTAAGCATTCTATATTATTGCTTACTTTCTGAAATTTCTAGTTTTCGGGAATTTTCAAACGCGTTTTTCTAGAAATGACATTTTTTTGATTCACGGGAGTTCAAGCTCAAAAAGTTATGAACTGATCGTTATAAAAATTGTAAGTGTGTTTCTTTATGAAATTATAAAGAACGTGAATCAACAAATGGGATGATATGATAATTTTAAAGGTCTTTCTGTCTGTCTGTATGTCGGAGGGTGGTGGAATTGTTTTTCCACCCCGGCACTTAGGCCTTATTAGGCCCCTTGTGCACCCTCCTTCATTACTCGAGTACATTTCTTCAAACCATCCTATTACTACATGGGTGGCTTGGTGGCAAAGTCTCGTGTTTTTATGTATGATAGCATGGCCTTGAGTTACAGAGATTTATTGCTCTATTCTCATTATCATTTTTATCGGGAACCACACGCATGCCTTAGGTCACCCATCTAAATTCCAGCCTGCGTCCGTGACGCTTAACTCCGCAGATCGAAATCTACCGGCCAAGACACTCAGCTAGGCGGTCCCCTTAATTTTAAAGGTGTTTTTTATTCAAAATATGTGAAAAAAAAATGGTGAAAATCGACACATTATTTCAAACACATGTAAAAACTTAAATTTTCACAATTTTTACCTGCAATGAGGTTCATATTTTTAGAAAACATGTTAATAATGCAGGAAAACAATCAGTTTGCTTTCAAATCAAAATTGTGACCACATTTCCTGTGAACAACCAACTCGGACAACGACCTTCGGTAGACAACAGCCCATAACTTCGGTTTTTTCAACACAAATGACTTGAAAAAATTTGCAAATGTAGCTCAAAATATTAGCAAAAAAATGTCAATGTTTGGTCAAATTCTAGTCAATTTGTCCCACTCAAAAAAGTTCCCCCTTAAGTAATAAGATTTCATTGACAAATCGAATAGAAAATATTACCTCATTGTAGCCCATGAACCCGTTTTCTCGCGTGTAAGGTCCTTGGAAGCCAGTACTTCCAGCTATAGCTCCCAATCTTGGTTTCCTCTTTGGTGACGGAGATATCGGATCCTCCAAGATGAAGGTTCTGCCGTAAAGTGGAATCCCCATGACTAACTTGCTAGCTGGTGCCCCGAGTTTCAACATATAATTTATAGAATATTCCTGAAATATAAAAGAATATATATCTCGTGACCTTTTACTTACTAACCAGGATGTTCCTATTCTCTGATACTTCAAAAAAACATGATTTTACCATCACATAAACAGATTATATTTTTTATGTCTAGGCATGATTATTCATTGCATTCGGTATACTCACATCACTGAATACGTCATCGCTACTTCTTAAAGGGGCATTAGCACCAGTTTTTCCATCCCAGGTTCCATGGTAGTCGTAGCACATCATATGAATAAAATCTAAGTAAAGAGAAAGTCCCTCTACGTCATACCCACCGTCTATGGTGTCTTTACCAGCACCAAAGGCAGCAGTCAGAAGTAGATTATGTTTTCTAAAAGCTGCCCTTAATTCCTGCAATGATACATAAATGTAAGTACATAACATATAAACATTTTAGCACATATATACTGTTAGAAACAATTTTCGATTTCTACTTTTATTATGTGTGAACGTGTATTTGTTTGCGAATGTTGTGTTTTTTGAAAACTGAAGTATTACTGTTTGTGAATTGTATTGTTTTGTTTTATTTATTGAAAACTGAATAAAGCCGAGCTGTAGTTGGTGAATCTTACAAAAGCTTTTATAGGTTCTATTTGTCTGCACCTGAAGTAAAGTCTCCTGTTTCCGTATCTGCTAATCTGTATAAAAAAAGTATCTGGGTGTAAAAGTGCCTACAGAATTCCAAAGTTATGGATTTAAAATAAAGAGAAACACTATAGTGGTTGTCACATGTGTAAAACACAAAAGCGTATATCATAAAGACAGTTTTTTGCAATAAATAGAAGAAGTAGAAACAAAAAAAACAATTTTTACAACACTTACCTTTACTAATAATAAAAAGTTTAATTTGTCTTCCGGGGTTCCCCCTCTCTTTCCGGGGAATTCCCAGTCCAAGTCGAGACCATCGAAATGGTATTTCCTGTAAATGAAACATGTCTACAAATTTTTATTAGGGAAATAGAATATTTGTACTTTACGAATTCCAATGCATTAGAAACAAATTCACTCCTTCTCACTGGATTAGCCGCCAGTTGAGAATAATTACTCGAACCCTCGTTCCAACCGCCAATAGCTAGAGTTACTTTAAGATGAGGGTATCTGTTTCTTAACATGGTTATTCTTTGGTATCCACTTTTCCCATGATCCTCTGTCAAGTCTTGCCAGGGATCTAGACATAAAATAAAATTAAATTTTGCAAATTAACGTGCTAATAGAGTGTATTTACCTAGAGACCTAATTGAATTGTTTTTCACAGACAGACCCGCGAAAGAATAGATTACATGAGTGCATAGTGACGGTTCTAAGTGTTCAATTGTAAATGATCCCCTTCCTGGTCTGTATACAGACCAACTTCCAAGATAACATACGACTAATTTCTCATGTGCTGGACCTAGAAACAATATAAAAATTAGTACATTATTTAATTCAGAATTAAAAAAGCGTCCGCCAAATTAACTAGCAGTAGCATAAAAAATTGGTTTTGTAGGCTTTCGTCGCAATAGTAAAGGTAAGTATTTTCGTCACAAACGTAATTAGGTAAATCAAAACATTTTATTTGGCTTTGCTATTGTCGTGGTTCGCTGGATTGCATTACTTTTTGTAATGGTAACAACACTTTGATTTGCCGTAAAATGAGATTAAAGTGTTGAAATTCCATTGCGCTGATTGAGATAATTCTTATTCACACAGGATCATTACAAATGTAAAGAAAAAGTTTGTAGGAAAGTATACCCACAATGTGCATAAAGTAATCATTTTTCTTGACAACTTTTACTAAAAATGTTTTTCGATGCCTTTTTCCATGGAAAAGATTAAAATGAGGGGTATGTAAACACTGGTTCCATCAAGTCTGTTACTAATTTTATCAGTATTTCCTTGGAAAACAAGATACCGACTTTCAATTATTAAGACGCCGTAGTGCTAGTTTCGAATCATTCCAAGTTTCTCTAAAGATCAGAAACATCTATTTTTTAATTGAGCATTCATTTTTTTAATAATTATAGTAAATTTGCATAAAAATAATTAAAATGTTATGAGTATAACAGTAAAAATATTGTGCTTTCCATGGCAATGCTGACAAAATCAATACAGACTTGACCTGCTTATTTAATTTCTTCTAATTTTAATTTATCATCTTATATTTTTTTAAAGAAAAGAGGTAGGGAGGTAAGAACTTTTTTTTAAACTGTTGAGAAAAAAGAGAACTTTCACATGACACAAAATATTGACAAAATTGAGAAAAATAATTTTGATGACATCACAGCCCTTAAGGTGATAAATATGGAATTTATCCTAACACGCATTTTACCTTACATGCACTAACTTCGATTTGGAAATTTATTCAAATAAATAAAAAAATAATTTAAATAATATCTATCTTTACTATTTAACATTTAACAACAGCAGCAAAACAAAAACCGGTTCTTCGAAATTTTTCCAAGAAATAAAGTTTTTTCTTATCAAGTACCTACATATCTACATAAATAATCTCTAAATCCATAAGAATAATAAAGACAAAGCTTCGAAGTAGTTCGAAGTACCCGTAGTAAATTTTCGTAAACTCCTAATACCTTAAACATATCATAAAGAATATTTTGAAATTACAATATGGGTCTGCTTTTTTGAATTGTATATAGGGTTACCAGATCTATTTCATGGCAGACCCGTAGACATGACCCGTTTGTATAATTGATGCCTTAAAAAAACGGTTATGCAAATGCAATCAGGAAATTTGGGAGACAAATTGTTTTGGCAATCCTAATTGTATACCTACTTGTAAAACTTGTGTTTTTAAGGTAGGTTAGTCATCATTCAGATTAATAATAAATCCACGCCTCAAATGATGAATGTAAAACGCTTTCTGCATTTAAACCGAAAACAGGCCATTTCAATATATAATTTATACATGAGGGTACTAGATACGTAATGAATCAGGTTTTCTTATAAATAATAAATGGTAACGAATAAAAAAAGTATATCTTTATTGCGACGAAATGGTGGAATTATAAGAAACGTAAATAAAATAAATTAGCAAACTGTAGTTTGTACTGGTATGGTAGTTTGACGTCAAAATAAAATAATCATTGATAATGTTAACGTCTCTGATGTTAACCATCTTTTTCATCTCTATCAAAAGTTGCTTCGTTTATTCACTATAGAGGGCGTCAAAATTATTGGTAAAGTGCTTTTTTTTAAAGAATTTGGTAAACTAGAATAGTAGGTACGTATAAATCATAAAGCTTTAGATGCTATAGGTAGATGTCACTTTTGATGTAGTAAAGAAATGGGGAAAAATACTCCTACCCTACAAAATGACTAATTTTTTTTGTATTAAATTTTTTGTATTTTATATTGTCGTAAAAACATCAAATGTTTGATAAATTGATAATAAATAAAGTTTTCTGCAGTAAGAAACTTGTAACTTCTTTCATATAAATTAATTTCTCCCATTCTATAAATTTTAACGTCAAATTTGAATTTCTTATTTGACTAAGTAGGTATAATTTGCAAAATGAGAAAAATCTAAAATTCACACTGTTCTTTTTTTTAACTGGGTTATGTATTACAGTGTTACTGAATTCATCATTTTCGTGTAAGAATATTCGGTTACCTACCTGTTTCATTTCTCTACAAAGCTTTATTTCATTTTGTATTATCAAAAAACTCAAATTTTTAAGAACAACCAACTTTGATTTGAATAAAGAACGCGTTGGTGATGACTAATAAAATAAAGTAATTACCGGAACACCGTTGGTAACAGAGCAAAAAATTACAAGAGGAAATTTATGATGAATTAGAAAAGAAGTTGTAAGGTGACCTTAAAAAATATAAGTAATTTACTTCAATTACTCAGGTTGTAACGTAAAAAGGAATTGGACAAAGCCATTTGGAAAAAAAATAAAAACTTCTATCGGCCTTGTCTTCCAGCCACTAAAAGCAACTGTGGATAAAGGTTAGTTTGGTTAAAGCGCATTTTTTTGCCCCATTAATGTGAGGTAGTTCCTTTAAATAAACACGAAATACTGAGTTATCCTGTATAACAACATAAAGGTAATTGATTCATTTTAATAATATGGTAGATCAAGAGTAGTAGGTCAACGTTTATGGTTCAAGTACGTTAAGTAATTTGAACTTTAAACAATACCTACACAATTAATTGGACAATCGATTTAGTATTGCATTTACTTTACATCCACATTCAAATCTTTGTAAGATACCTACAGCAATATCTCCAAAATCTTAGGGAAAATAACTATGAATACGAAATACACACCTTTTAATAAAAAAATAAATGAAAAGAATACGAATTAAAAGAATTGAAAAATCAAAGAAATCGTAGTTTGAAATTAATAAAGTTAGCATTCTATACAAAAACATAAAATATAAAATACTGAATACAAATTATTAGACTCGAGATGGTTGGTCAACTCTTGCCTTTGGTAATTCACAGTATCAAATCTTGTTCTCTTCTATTAGGTATTTGAAAAATATTACAAATATATGTACATGCCCGTGTTTGTTTTCTTCATCATCTTGATGTGATGGATTCTACCGTGGATTGGTTATAAAAATTCTGATCTGTGACTGGCATTATAGAAACCACACGTAGAAATAACCATATGAGTAGTTAAATATTTACTCATATGGAAATAATGAATAAAAAACATAGCATATTATTATAACGAACATTTTTTCCTTAACGTTTAAAGAATATTTTAAATAATCTGGCAGAGACGCACAATTTTAACTTGGAAATATTGTCGGACGCCTTATTAAAAAATAATAATAGTAAATTTTTTACCGTCTGCTTTCACCGTACACCACCCTGTAGATTATTATATACAGGGTGATGTATGAAAGCATGCATATAGCAATGGAAATAAATGTATATGTAGATTCAAAAATATAGTTTTAAAATATATAACTTCTTTTATATTTGAATTTACCCAAGATGAATTTACCAAAATTATAAAATTTCTTAAATAAAACATTTCACACTGTATCATTCATTAATTTAGTTTCAATTATTTATAATCTGATTTGCAATAAGATATACATGCGAGAGTTGTATATGTAGTGAACTATCACACAAAGGAGAATATATACATACCTACCTCTACATATATTAAGTTTTCACGAACTCACCTGTGTTAAAAGAAAGCACTGGAACATTTACAAAAAATCCAAGGAGAACACAAACACACTTATTAAACCACATGTTTTTCCTGGGCAACTGCCAAACGAATAACGAACGAATTTCAACAAATATTGCAGCAATTTACAGTTAGTAACAAAGGTGTGTGGTAAATTATCTGTCGCGGTTTTAAGCAACTTGAGACCGAATACCATAAGAAAACAGTATCCTACTTCTTGACCTACGCGTGAATGATACGACAGTTATCTGGTTTTCTTGTAGCTGTTCCCTTTCACTTGTGAGTGGAGTATCGTGTTGGCACGGCTAGAATTCCAATGGAAATAAAGACAACCGGCAAAATCGTCAACCGCCTGTTAAAACTTGTTTGGTTTATAATATTTTCATTAAAATTTACATAGTTTAACAGTTTTGGAATAAGTACATTGTCGGGTCGACCATGGCCCGCTGAACTTCGGTGGCGGGGCCGGCACCTCAAGGGGTCCGTTTCAAAGGATCTCTGTTTCCGGAAATATTATGCCGAGAAAAATATGAAAAAATAGGAAAACTTGAACTTTTATTATAGTCTAGGACATAGATCTAGCCACTTTGCCTTCACAAATTATTTTAATAAACAAATGAACCAAGACGATTTCCGCCTAGAATGGGAGATAAGAATTTATTTTTTTAAAACTGAAGTACCTACGTATTAAAACTTAAACGTGAAAATTAACGTTTATGTGCTCTATAAAGCATTATTTCGTTTTATTATCAAATAAATCTAATTTTTCTGGACAATTAAATCAGGTTTGTATGAAAAATGCGTTAGTGATGACTGATGATTGATGAAATAATTAATTATGTAAAAACCAGTAATAAGATTTACGAGAAAATGCCATTTGCAAAAAAATACATGATCGGAGTGAGGGTATATATTCCAAAATTCTTTAAATGTTCTATCAGTGTTTTAGTTATTCAGAAAAATATATATAATTGCCAATTTTAAGAGCAAAATTATGTTCTAAAATACTGTTGTTTACCGTGTTTCAATAAAGGGGAATCCCTGGGGAATCCCTAAACAAAGCTCAGAGGTTTACGAAAATTCAATGGGTTGTCTCTGATGTGGGTGCTTAGATTACTATATTTGATCTTGTTATTTTTAGGGTGCGTTTACATATGAACTGTTACAATCTTAAGTAACTTTATAGTTCGGGAATTAACGACAGATTTCTTTACACCATTTCCATAAGCTTATTTTTTTTTTTCTGAGTTATCCCATGTAACATATACAATAGTACGTCTGTCACCGCATCGCTACGACGGGGGGTTGCAGGAGGTTTACAATTACAAGAAAAAAAATTGTAACCGCATACGCGAAACTTATTGGACGTATGTACGTATTAGTTGAAACATAAGCTTAGAAAATATCGTCTGCCACGTAAATTCCACAATAAAAATCGTCTTCCACCCATAAAAGTAAGCGTAAAAAAATATAAACAAAAAATTATACCTGCAAGCATGAAATGGATTGCAATACTTCTTTTTATAGTAACAAACACAAAAATAATAGACTTCCACCCATAATTAACATACAATTAACGAAGACCGTTTTCCAAGCGATAAAAGACTATCGTTATTGCGGGTATAAAATTTTTTTTATTTTCTTTGCGCTTACTTTTCTGGGTGAAAGACGAGTTTTCTTGTGGAATTTAGGTGGCAAACGATATTTTCTAAGGTTACACGGGTAATTCATAGAAAAAAAATGAATCTTGCGGAAATGATGTAATGAAATATGTCGTTAATTCCCGTACTATTAATCTGACAATCTGACAATTATAATACTTCATGTAAACGCACCCTTAAGGTTTTAAAGAGAGGAAATGGCCTCTTTTTTCGCGAGTGAAGTCGTATGTTGTAATGTGTATATATAGTAGGATCATATTCGATGCAAAGTAATAAATCATTGCCCGTCAAGGGAACCAATGAAGTACGCTTTTAAGGGTTTTAAAAATGGAATAATTTCTTTATACATTATTATGAAGGGACGAGGGGATCAGTTCAGGTCTGGCACCACAGACCACCTAGACTGGCCGTATCTAATTCCAATGCACGGGTACCAGTGATTGCAAAATCCGGGGAAGTGGAGTGTGGAACGCAATCGGATCGCACGCATCTTTAAGCAGATCCGGTTTAAGTAATATTTTTATTACATATTAAACATTATATTGCATCTTATGACAAATATTCAATTTCAAGTTTGTAATTCAGAAAATAGTATATTTTAGTGTCATATTAAATAAAACTACAAAATAATTTAAATATATTTATTGTCCTCTAAATAATATTAATTTATTTAATATTTGCCTTTTCGTAGATTTTACCGAATTAAATAATTTGACTTCATGATTTATTCGTACATCGATATACTTTTCACATTCAGCCCTTACAAGTTCTATTAAATGATTACAATTGTTAGGCAAATTATCAAATTGATGTTCATGCAAATTTTCAAATATGTTCACATTCAGAAA